GTAATATAAACATACTCCTGCTATGATACACCATGCACATTACAATCCAGGCACAAATAACCATGTTAAAAAGGATGACATGAAATGAATGTAAATAGAAACTCCACTGTTTTCACCAGTCACCCCAGTGGATGGCACCATTCACCACCCCTTGGTCCTCCGTGCCATCCTGAAGTCTGAAGTCTATATACATAAGGAGGAGGAGTCACATGAACCCTGTTGACCAACGTTCATGTCCCTAGCACAGTCCACACATCTCAAATGGCAGTTGACTGAAAGAATTATTTATTAAAAAGTCCAGGTGACCGGGTGCAGTGGCTCACACCTGTAATCCCAGCACTTTGAAAGGCTGAGGCGGGTGGATCATGAGGTCAGCCTGACCAACATGGTGAAACTCTGTCTCTACTAAAAATACAAAAATTAGCTGGGTATGGTGGCAGGCACCTGTAATTCCAGATACTTGGGAGGCTGAGAGAGGAGAATCACTTGAACCCAAAAGATGGAGGTTGCAGTGAGCTGAGACTGCACCACTGCACTCCAGCCTGGGCAACAACAGAGTGAGACTCTGTCTCAAAAAACAAAGAAAAGAAAATCCAGCTGATTTGCTGAGACTTAGTATGAGTCTGCCCAATAGCCTCAACAAGTAAACATTTTTGGAAACACAGTAATTTTGGCATTTTTATGTAGAAACTCCACCTTAATGCTGGGAGGTTCTGCAGAAGTTGACATCATTTTACTTGGTGTTTCTGTCTCCCACTGATTATTCTTGGAATGCAGCACACTGTGGTCTTTTTTCCCCCTCTTATGTTACTGGAACTGTCAGGCTAAAATTATGTTTTCTATCTTGCTTACTCTATGAGAACCACAGACTTGGCCACATGCTTTTCAAAGAGCTTAAGGTTTCCAGTACATTAATAACCAGAGAATGGTGCAGCCCTGTAGCTTCCGAAATACCAACTCTACAGCACACTTCTACATTCTTTTAGTTACTTTTTGTGATCATAAAGCACACATTTTGCACACAGTAATCAGATGACCTAGTCTCATGCCACTAGGGAAAATGACTGTTTAGGAAATGACAGAATCAAAACTAGAACCCAAACTCCTGGGTTCGCTCTCTACCACAATCGCTTTCTGGTTCTCAGATATCCCTTTCATTCTCCCTGGCTTCAGGATGAATGGGTGGCTGGAAGCACAGAGTTGAGCTCTCAGTTCTAAAGGGAATAGTCCCCAAAACTCTTTGGGTATGCATCAGTGGTTATGCTCCCTTAAGGATGAACCTGAGGTATCGATATGGCCTATTGGCCTGATGTGCTGAGCTCTGTACAACTTTGCCAATTTGCTATGCATTCCTGTCTCTCCTTTAGGTACAGTCCCTGCAATCTGGCTAGAGCTTCCAAGGGTTTTACCACAAAGAAAGAAACTCCCTAGTTGAAAGAAAAGGACAAAGTGGGTTCAGAGGAAGGACGCAGACCATCTCAATGCCTTGAATATGCTGCCTTCTCTACTTGTTCTGTCCCTAGTTGATGTGTCTTCTCCTGCTAAGGTTTGGTTCTGTGTCCCCACCCAAATCTCACCTTGAATTGTCATCTCCACAATCCCCATGTGTCAAGGGCGGGACCAGGTGGAGGTAACTGAATCATGGGGGCAGTTTCCCTCATGCTGTTCTCGAGATAATAAGTGGGTCTCACAAGATCTGATGGTTGTATAAGCGTCCGGTATTTCCTCTGCTTGCACTCATTCTCTCTCCTGCCACCCTGTGAAGTGCCTCCTGCATGATTGTAAGTTTCCTGAGACCCCCTCCACCAGATATGCGAAACTGTGAGTCAATTAAACCTCTTTTCTTTATAAATTACCTAGTCTCAGATATTTCTTCCTTGCAGTGAACTGAATAATACATCTGCCATCAGCTGTAATGAAAGAGGGCTGGGAACAATGTATACCGTGGTAAACCTTCAGTAGATGCTACAAATTCCAAGCAGTATTTAAGCATCCTTTTAAGAGGAAGATTTGGGAAAGGGATGGTTTACCTGGATAAGATATCAAATGCAAAATTTCTTTCAGGGCACGGATGGTTTGTCTCTTCCCACCTCTGGGTTTTGTGGCTGCTTTTGCCAGCCAGTCATGGTGGTGGCTTGTGGATATGTATTCAGGCAGGAGAGACTGAGATTCTATTTCTAGGAGTATGCTTTGGGACAATGGTGCCCTTTTTTACTATGTTAGCCTAAACCAGGTGCAAGGACCTCACAGTGAACAAGCAGGCAGCCAGCCTCACAGGCCGACTTCCTACGCTTCCCATCTTGCTCTCATACTTGCCACAGAAGAGGTCACCCAGGCAGCCAGATGCTCTGGCATATCACTCCCATCTGTAGAGAAATCATCATTTGCCCCTCACATGCCTGGGGCTCTGCTTGCACTGTAGCAGAGCTAGAAGAATGGGAAGTAAAGGGAAGGACTTATGACAAAAGATCTGCTCCTTCTCTTTTCCTAATCCCCTGAAGGATAATACGTGAACTTGAACAAGCTGGGTCAGGAGTAGTCCAGAACCACACCCACCCACCCTAACCACCCTCAGAACTGAGAAATGGTTCTATGTAACCTGAGAGAGATGGGGGAGGCTAGAATCATTGTCTTCAAGTATGCCAAAGCATGCCATGTTATGGGGCATGAGGGTGCAGAAAAAAAAACAGAGTAAGACCAGTGACTGGGAATGGCATGGACAGATTTCAGTCCGATATTAGAAGAATGTTTAACAATAAGGCTCTCCAACAATGGGACAGGCTCTCTCAAGAGCTGTAACTATCACCGAGGTATTTAAAAGAGAAGGCCACGTTACTTCAGTCAATGAGAGAAAGTATGTATGTGTGTGTGGCAGGTAGTTGGACATTTTCTAGGACTCTAAAGACTGCATAACACTAGGTCCAGTCATCCATCAGTGTTGATGATTTTACAAAAGCCCTGTACCACGACAACATCCTCCAAGAGGAAACCAAGTTAATTTTGAAAAAGAAGCTGTCCTGGCCAGGTGCGGTGGCTCACACCTGTAATCCCAGCACTTTGGGAGGCCAAGGCAGGTGGATCACCTGAGGTCAGGAGTTTGAGACCAGCCTTGCCAACATGGTGAAACCCCGTTTCTACTACAAAAAAACCCCAAAAAAACAAAAAAAACAAAAAAATTAGCCAGGCTTGGTGGCGTGTGCCTGTAATCCCAGCTACTTGGCAGGAGAATCATTTGAACCTGGGTGGTGGAGGTTGCAGTGAGCCAAGATTGCACCATTGCACTCCAGAGTGGGCCACAAGAGAGAAACTCCATCTCAAAAAAAAAAAAAAAAACTGTTTGTAAATAACAAAATAAATCAGGTGGGAGGGAAGAATACTGGCATACTGCTGGATGAGGCCTGTGTCTACACAACCTCTATTCACCACCTTCCTCACTTGTACAATGCAAAGGTGATAGTAACAGCAGGTAACTGATTGCTTGCTATGGGCCAGATCTATTAACTTGCTTAATTTTCACAACTCACTGTTTTACATACATAGAAACACAGGTAAGGATAGTAAGTGATTGACTTAAAGTCATACAGCTAGGAAGAGGGAGAGTCAGAATTAAACCCTGGTAGACTTCTATGCATTATGTCTAGACACTCACCAGACACCACTAGTGTCTGGTGCAAAGGGCTCAAGAGAGAATTCTAGAGCTGTACTGTGTGATATTATGCAAGATAATCAAAGTTCTCTATGCCTGGTGTTCTCATCTGTAAAATGGGTATACAAATGTGTATCTTACAGAGAGGCTCAAAGAGAAATGATTTAATACGTGTAAAATGTTCAGAGAATGGTGGCAAATAATAAGTACTCAACAAAGGTTACCTATTGTCAAATAAACATGCCCATGATTACCATTAGATACCTAGATGGATAATATCTTAATATAACATAAAGCTATGCCTCTGTCTGTAATATCCATATGTAAAGGGCAATCACTCAAAAAGAGTCCCAGTGGAGTAATGAGGCATCACTACCAACCACTTAACCATATAGCAGAGAGTGTGTTTATCTTATTGCTTTGTGCTTAATCAAACTATACCTTATCTTTCCATAGGCCCTCAATTCTATTACATGATGGGCACCTGAATCTCATTCATTTTTTGAGATAGGGTCTCACTCTGTTACCTGGGCTGGAGTGTGGTGGCACAATGATGGCTCACTGCAGTCTTGACCTCCTGGGCTCAAGCCATCCTCCTGCCTCAACCTCCCATGTAGCTGGGACCACAGGCATGTGCCACCATATCTAGCTAATTTTTGATTTTGTGTAGAGACAAGGTCTTACTTTGTTACTGAGGCTGGTCTCGAACTCCTGGGCTGAAACAATCTCCTGCCTCGGCCACCCAATGTGTTAGGACTACAGGTGTGAGCCACCATGCCTGGCCAGATGATGGAGGCTTTTCTACAGATGACTGTTCTCCCTGGAAACCTACCTCTCAGTTTCTCCCTGAACCTTGAGTCAAGTAAGTTTTCCAAGATTGGGCTAAATGAAGGAGAGGGCACTATAGAAACAACCTTGGAGACAACATGGGATATTTTCCATTGTGTCTTCCTTCTTTCTTTTTTGAGACAGAGTCTTGCTCTACTGTCCAGGCTAGAGTACAATGGCATGATCTCTGCTCATTGCAACCTGTGCCTCCTGGTTCAAGCGATTCTCCCTGCCTCAGCCTCCTGAGTAGCTGGGATTACAGGTGCCCACCACCTGAGTAGCTGGGATTGCAGGTGCCCAGCACCACACCCAGCTAATTTTTGTATTTTTAGTAGAGATGGGGTTTTGCCATGTTGGCTAGGATGGTCTTGAACTCCTGACCTCAGGTGATCCATCTGCCTTGGCCTCCCAAAGTGCTGGGAATACTGGCATGAACCACTGCACCCAGCTGAGACTGAATTCTTTTGCTAGAATCTGGAGAGCTAAAGGCCCATTGCCAAGGAGGCAGAGGGTGCTGCTGTCCTACCTGGTGAGCTTGGTGCCAATCTGTTGCCTCAGCTCCAGCCGCTCCTCATCCGTCTGTCTGGGAAGGATGTTCTTTTCTTCCAGCTCTCGCTTGGAGGGCCTGTTGCTGAGTTTGATGGCTAAGGAGTCCTTCCTGCAGACCTTCATGGCCAGGGAGCCTGCAAGAGAGAGAAATGAGTCCCTTAGGGCTGACAAACATCTGCCTGCCTGACACACACACAGGGCCAACCTGGACTATAAGATACACGGCAGGAAGGAAGTCATCAAGGCTTTAACACCTGAGGAGTGGTTAAGGCCTCAGTTCCTAGAGTTCCTGCCATTGCCACACGCTCTACCCCTAGTACTGTGTGGGACACATGGAGAGCCCACAGGGAGCCTGTGATTGGGTCCCTGCTCTCCAGGAACACCCAGCATGCAGACAACATCACAAAGGAGAGAAGGACTGGCCATTGGTTGCAGCAGATTGCAGAGGGGGAGACAGGACAGAGGCCTTTAGCAACTAGGGGGGGTTTCACAAGGAGGAGGGGCTGACACCTGATGCAGAGATAAGAGTCCAACAGGCAGCAGGTGGGCGGGCATCTGTGTCTGCAAAAGTGAAGTGGTGAAGGCTACACCAAAAATCTCAAGAAACAGAAGAGATCAACTACACTGGAGCTGGGGGGATGTGGAGGAGAAAAAAAGGTAGTCGGACAAAGTGGGGCTGGTTGGGGGTGGGAGTGGAGGTGAGGGCTTTGAAACAGGCAATATCCTGGGATTTTTTTTTCTTCTTCTTAACCCCAGCGTTTCTGAGCAGCAGAGGCAGGGCTTCCCTACATCTGGTATAAATCTGTGCTTCTCAACCAGCGGTGATTTTGCTCCCCAGGGGACACCTGGCAAAATCTCAAGGCATTTCTGGTTGTCAAAACGAAGGTGGTAGGCAGAGGGTGTTACTGGCATCTAGCAGACAGAGACCAGGGATGCCTGTAGACATCACCGTGCCCAGGACAGCTCCACACTAAAAGTTATCTGCTCCCAAATGCTGGGAGTGGCGAGGTTGAGAAACCCCGGTATGAAACATTCAATTCTCTGGATGCTAAACAGCAAACGGGCTGAGCAGGTGCTCCTTCCACTCATGGGTCACTGAAGTATTTGCTGCCCTGTGTGGTTCTTTCCTCGAGATCACCTGGATCCCTTCAATCGCTCACCAGGTCTCACATGGAACCAGCTATTTGAAGCCTGTTAAGTAGGGAGCAAGAGAAAACACCAGCGGGCAAGAAGCCTGGGGGTGCCTTTGGATTCTATTGAGTAGTGCTTTTCTTCTTTCTTCCTCCGCTGGTTTTAGAACATCAACTGTGGAATGTGACACAGCCAGCATCACACCCCAGAGTTGCCCCTTAGCAGAGGGGAGGCCCTGGGCTGGCGGCACCTTGCTTCTCCATTTTCTGCCCTTATCTGTAAAACGGAGGCAATCATGTTCATGCCTCAGGGTTGCTGCAAGACGTAGGTGAGAGATTAAGATCCTGACCCATTGTCGGGCATGCAGTACATGTTCGATACATGGCTGCTATTCTCACAAGTACATTTATTAAAAAGTTGGCCAAATATCAGGCTGCACTCACGTAACTAAATTTTATTTACTGTTCACAGCCAGAGTGATAGGTTTTGAACTTTGCTTTCTTCATTTCTTCTCTTGTCTCTTAGCGCCTTTAAAGGTCATCAATAAGAAATTTAAATTGAGGCCTTCTAAAGTTGGTGATGCTTAAAAAGTGAATCTGTTGCATACACAGTGGGTAGTATTTGAGTGTTTGCCTGACGGGAACAGATGTTTAAGCTTTTAAAACTTTTTTTTTTTTTTCTTATTGGGGAAGTTGCATCCCAAGGGAAGCAATAAAGAAAGAGCCATCTAAAGAGATAAGAGGTGGCATTTTACAAATCCCTGCACCTGTAATTTTTAGAGCTAGGAGGGCATTTAGAGGATATTTACCACCTCCTCTTACTGATGTAGGAACTGAGGCCCCAAGAGGTAGACTATGACCCAGGACCAGTCAATACCAGAGCAGGGATTAGAACCCAAACTGCTGGGGTGCTGGGTCTGCTCTCTGCTGTCTTTCCACAAGAGCATGCTTCCCCACCCCTGGTGAAGGGTTAAGATGAACGCACTGGTGTATAATGAGCTGTCATCGTCTTCGTCCTCCTCCTCTTCCTCTTCTCTTGTGTACAGGCAAGAAGAGTCTTCGTAGTCTGACTCGTGAGGCACATTTTCTTTATTGTCATCACATTCAATCACAACAGTTGGCACTTGTCTTATTTCTGGAAGGCCCATAGGTCCTGCTTTGGTGACCCCGTCACCCGAGTGCAACCCAGAGCTGTGGTAAGAAGTGGAACAGGGGACCCGCTGCTCAGAGCTGTTTAAAGACAAGGAGGAAAGAGGAAATTCATTTTGGCTAACATGCTATATAAATGCATCAAAACCATTTTAAAACCCAGTTGCCCTCGGTTTTAAATCATTTTAAAACACAGTTGGCATGTGCAGGACATGCACACAGACTTCATGAATACACTATAAATAGGATAAACTACACCATCCAGGTCCAAAATTTAAAACAGGTGGCCCAGGACAGATATGGAGTCATTGGGCTGAATTCAGTCCACAAATACATATTTTTGCCTATCTCATTTTTCTTTAAGGATCTCATTCTGTTGCTCAGACTGGAGTGCAGCAGAAAAATTATAGCTCACTGCAGCCTCAACCTCCTGGGCTCAAGGGGTCCTCCTACCTTAGCCTCCCAAATAGCTGGGACTACAGGTGCATGCCACTGTGCCCAGTTAATTTTAATAGTTAATAACTTGCTCAGTAGACCCTAAGAGACAAAGGGTCTATTGGGCAAGTAAAGTCTCATTGCTCATCTTACGGGGAATCATTTTAAGATGGCACGGTTTCCTGATGGGAACAGCGGCATGGGCTAGAAAATAATTTCAACTCCTTGTGGGTGGTGGTGATGGCTGCACAACAATGTGAACGTATTTAATGCCATTGAACCGAACGCTTTAGAATGGTTAAGATGGTAAATTTTATGTTATCTGTATTTACCATAATTTAAAGAAATTAAAAATAAGGGCAAAGGATTAATTTGATAGTGAAGTTATTCAGGAGAGAAAAATAATAATTGACGTTCTAGTTTTCTAAAGCTACAGAGGGTGACTGTGTGTGACAATTTTTAATTTATTATACTTTAAGTTTGGGGAACATGTGCAGATTGTGCAGGTTTGTTACATAGGTATACACGTGCCACGGTGGTGGTTTGCTGTATCCATCGCCTCCTTATCTACATTAGGTATTTCTCCTAATGCTATCCCTCCCCATTCCCCTCATCCCCTGCTATTCCCCTCCTTGCCTCCCACCCCTCAGGCCCTGGTGTGAGATGTTCCTCTCCCTGTGTCCGTGTGTTCCCATTGTTCAATACCCACTTATGAGTGAGAACACGTGGTATTTGGTTTTCTGTTCTTGTGTCAGTTTGCTGAGAATGATGGTTTCCAGTTTCATCCATGTCCCTGCAAAGGGCATGAACACATCCTTTTTTATGGCTGCATAGTATTCCATGGTGTATAATGTGCCACATTTTCTTTATCCAATTGTGATAGACTATTTGAAATGCTGTGGCTGGAGATGCCAAGAAAGGGAAGATGGGGATGGACCAAAGGCTGGAGACCCATGCATGACATTGTCAGAGATGACCTAGAGACAGTCCTCTCCCACAGGGAGCCACAGGTAATACCAGTCTGGATATTTTACAGGCCAATTTTCTAAGAAGCAACAAGGATGATGTTTTTGGTTCTATCTCAAGTTGAACCAACTTGGATCAAACGTATTTTTTAATTAAAAAAGCTATACGGCTGGGTATGGTGGCTCACACCTGTAATCCCAGCACTTTGGGAGGCTGAGGCAGGTGGACCATGAGATCAAGAGATCGAGACCATTCTGGCCAACATGGTAAAACACCATCTCTACTAAAAATACAAAAATTAGCTGGGCGTGGTGACACGCGCCTGTAATCTCAGCTACTCAAGAAGCTGAGGCAGGAGAATCACTTGAACTTGGGAGGCAGAGGTTGCAGTGAGCTGAGATCATGTCACAGCACTCCAGTCTGGTGAAAGAGTGAGACTCCATAAACAAACAAACAAACAAACAAACAAACAACCTGTAGAGGTTTGTTGTTGCAAAGTTAGAAAATGCCTGTCATCAAAAACAAAGAAAATAGTTATTTTCTTAATCCTCTGGCTGAGGATTATGTAGTAACTTAGAACCCTTTTTATGACAGGCTTTGCATGAAATCTAGAAAGAATCATAAGAATATGTAACCTGAAGCCACAGTTAAATTTTGTAATTCTTTTTCAGATTAATTGGAAGTGAAATTTATAAATTTCCTTCATTCAAGAAATTTCCAAACACAGGAAACTCAATGCATTTTACTATCCAAAAGTGTTTGACGTGCATAAGGAAATGGAGCATGAGCTTGTATTACATATCAGTAAGTTCCACATTTGAATATTTTATCTAAAAGAAGCCTAACTTATGACATATGAATGTATGCCCCTTCTTTGAAACTTGCAATTATGCTTTAAATTATTGCTATGCCTAATGTAAATTCAATTAACTTCCTTTCTTCCATTGTTTCCAAAGAGCTGTTTTTCTCTTTGTATTTTTCATATAACTCTTCAGTGACACAAATGGAAAAACCTAGTTAACATATTATGAGCTATGATGTTCAAGGCAATGAGCTAATTTAACTTAAAAAAAGCCAACCTCTGAATAGGATTAAACCACATATTTACAAAAATGCAGCATCTTATTAGACATTAGTGGCTTAAGTCGGTCCATTTCCCACCTAATTTAATACAGATGACAATGGGAGGAGGGTGAAGTACGTGATAGATGGTCTCCAGGGTGGTGAAGGGTGACGGAATGGGGGCTGGGGACTGGCTGCACACCGTGCAAAGCAGCTCTTTCATCAGTAACAGCTACTCCATTCCAACTGCGCTTGGATTTCCACATTGGGTATTACAGAAAGTAAGGATGGAAGGGGCAAAACATGTCATTCCATGGCTCATGTTTTGTCCCAATCCTGCCTTTTCCTCTCTCTGCTTTCTAGTTTAAGTAGCATGTTTCCTATAAAGGCGCAGAGCTGGGGATTTGGCAGCCGGGAGCTGGGGATGAAAGTAGACAATAGATATGCTTGTTTGGTGGGAAAAATCTTTTAAGGGAAAAGAGTTGGAACTAGACAGCATGAGTTCCTTAAGGTAGAAGGCTCCAAGTTCATTCAAGACGACAGAGGAGAGAAAAATGCACAGGGAGATAAGAAACGCCACCTCATAGGTGGTGTGTGATCAGCAAGAGGCTGTGGTTTCCTCTCCCTCAAAGATATATGGGCAGCATGAAATCTTCTTGCATAGGATGGGATTACATGGAGGACAGCCGGCTACTTTGAAAGGTACCAGGTACTATGCTACTGAGTTTGTCAAATAGGGATTGGTTGTGTGGCCAGTGACTGCCTGTTGGGGCACTAGAGAAACTGATAAAGATCTCTGGGGCTAATCAGCTCATCTTCCTGACATGTGAACCCTAGCATGTGCTTGAAAGCCTAATTTTCCTTAAGAGTGAAGGAGGTATTTTCCAGGAAGCTAGGTGAATCCACCAAAAGGATTTTAAAATATTCTATTAATAAATATCCACGGAATGCTAATTATATATCAGGAAGAGTCCTGAGAAGAAAAATACCCCAAGAAACCCACCCCTTTTGTAACTATGGAGAACCTCAGGAGAGCAAGAAAGGGAGGAACAGTATAGGAGTTAGCTAAGAAGCAGTCAGGGAAGGTTAATTTGGGGCCTCGCTTTGAGGAGTCAAGACAGATCTGAGTCCATGTTTTGCCACTTACTCTCTTCTTGACCTCAGCCAAATTGCTTAACCTCCGAGTCTTGGCTCCCTCAACTGCAAAACTGGGTAAATCATGCCTTTTTTGTAGGGCTGGTGCATGTGAAGTGGCCTGTTGACATGGCCTCAAACGAGACCCTCACTGGTTATTGACAGACATAGCCTTCCAAGTGGTTTCACAGCAGGCGGTTTCAGTCCAGTCTCCACAGTTCTCGGAGCGACTTTCTAAAACTCAGATCTCAGAGCCTCACCCATGAGAATTCTGAATGCCCCTCAAGTCTACAAAACCGCTGCTCTAGGAGTGATGCAAATGAAAATTCAGTTAACCCATCATGAACTATGCTATTTAAGGCAAACAACCAAATCAACTCAAATGTAGCATCTTAAGAAACATGGCCTCTGTCCCGCTGGTGACAGACACCCAGCAGAACATCGGTGTCTGTAGCATGAATTTTATATAATATAGTTATCACCTAGAAGATCTGCTCTAAATACAGGCCCTCATTCCAAAAGAAAGGTGAAAACCATTAGCCTGAAAACAGTAGCTTAAACATAGTGTCATGTGCTTGCCACAGCCTACATCATTTGGCCCAAATTATTAAGGCAGACTCATTCCCCCTTCCTTCCTTCCCTCTCCAAACAACTGACCCCTTGATCACTTGCAACTGTGCATTCAATGCCCTTGGCCTGGAACGTGTTCCTAAACCATCTTCACCTCATTCATTCCTATTCCTCTCTCAATACTTGTCTCAGTCCATGCCTTGCCTATGTGTACAGGAGAGTCCTCAAGTGTGAAAGCCATAATCATCTATTTGCTTACGATCTTCCCTTCACCATCCAAGGGTGGAGGCTCCTTGTGGGGCAGAAGCCATGTCTTCTGCTTGTATCTGGTGCCTATTACCATGCTTAGTGCCTGGTATCGTGCCTGACGCAAAGTAGATCCTCAGTAATCGTCTATTGCTTTAGCCGAATGAAAAAAAATACAGGTTGCAATGACTGATGTTTAGATGTTTGTAAGCAGTCGACAAAACATGTTCGAAAGGTATTAACTAACGGATTGTTGTTGTCGTTGTTGTTTTTTTTGAGACAGAGTTTCCCTCTTTTTACCCAGGCTGGAGTGCATTGGAGTGATCTCGGTTCACCACAACCTCTGCCTCCCGGGTTCAGGCAATTCTCTTGCCTCAGCCTCCCGAGTAGCTGGGATTACAGGCATGCGCCACCATGCTCGGCTAATTTTTTGTATGTTTAGTAGAAACGGGGTTTCACCATGTTGACCAGGATGGTCTCGAGCTCTTGACCTCGTGATCCACCCGCCTCGGCCTCCCAAAGTGCTGGGATTACAGGCGTGAGCCACCGCGCCCGGCCAACGGATTATTTTTTAATGTGCAGGGAAGCATCTAGTGGTGTGCTGCAGGGACATGGTGCCCTAGACTTGGCTGGCATCTTTATCAATGGCAATGACAAAAAGGGCATCC